CGCGAGTCTCTTTAAAAAGGAGGGGAGGCATGAGGGACAGGCAAAGAGAAGGATGTGTGTGTGTGTGTGTGTGTGTGTGTGTGTGTGTGTGTGTGTGTGTGAACACGGCTTGTTGTTGCATGAGTTAGACTGCAACCTGCTTTATATCTGAGGAAAAAGTCTGCAGACAAAAGGTCAACAAAGGAAACAAAGACGATCAAGATGAATGAAATTGGACCTTAGCTCTGATTTATCCTTACRTATACGTAGAAGGGAGACTCTAAATAAAGACATACACATGAACGAAAAGAAAAAGTCTGAAAAATAAAAGACATTCTTTACATTTATTTTTACTTTTTACATTTTCCAAGTTGTTTCCCAACAGTGCTTTTCCAGTCCGTTTTTTTTTTCCCAACTAATCACCAAACCAAAATTAAAAAGGAACAGAAATTCAACTGGGAGTGTCCCATCATTTATCTGCCATCATACTTTATTCTGAAAGGATTTAACAATGGAGACAATAGCCATAGTTGAACTCAGCTTTACTGCGACTAGATGAGTAATCGCTGCCTTGTTCTTCTAATGGACCAGTGAAAATGAAAGAATATTTAAAAAATAGAATTAGTAGCAGTACATGTCTCTGCACCTGAAGTCCACATTTTCTTCATCAGACGGATTTTCATCTGCAGGACTTGGGGTGAGTGAACTTTATGGTAATGGACAAATATTTGAATAAAGACTGAGAAATTGCAGAGATATTGGAAGTATTTTGTCTAAAATGCATCAGCAAATCTCTGTTCGTACAAATTTGCAAAACTACGAGAAGTACAGTGAGTTGCTGTGATTATTGCCTGTAATTTGGGCTTCCCTGGCATTTTAAACATAAGTTGGACCTACGGTAAAGAATAATTAGCCTTTATGATGGAGTCTTTGTTCAAACTTCATTCAGATCTTCTGCAAAGCTGACATGGTGAGAATCCGTGAGGGGGTTAGAACAGCGTGCAGACCCAGTTGATGACCTGTTCTCAGCTGTGATGAGACAGCAGGTTGTCTAACTGACTGACTTGATTGGTCTCTTATGTGTCTGCTCACGCATACAGCCCCCTTTACCGGGGGGCAAAAGAAGAAGACGGGGGGATGTGAGAGTACTTAAACGSTCTAATGTGACAAGCTAAGAAGTGTGAACGTGTGGATGTTAGCAGGGGAGGTGGGAAAAGCAGGACAGGCCTGAACATGGCAGCTAGTTTCTGTAATCTGAGTGATGCAGGAGAACAATGGACGGAGAGAAGCGCGGAACAGCYGCAGAATAAATTCTGTGCAGGAAATGAAATAGAGAGAGAGAATGAAGACAGGAAGGAAGTCTGGGAATTGTCTGAGTTATTGAAGGGAAGTAGAGAGGGGGTCTGTTGTTGAGGGCTGCTCCTGGCTGTGTGAGTTGGTGTTTGCTGACTGACATTTCACGAAAAATATCCAGACACATGGGCCTCGGGAATTTTTTTTCTTTATATCACGAAGTACCCAGAGCTGCCCATGTTTCATTTTTGGTGGCAGCTATTGGCAGAACAATAACCTTTTTATGATTTGTTTCCCTTTGTGTGTTTCTTTGTCTGTCATGTTAGTAAATATCTCATTACCATTTTAATGAAACTCATTTGGATGTATCAACTCACCAACTTGAACTGTTAATCAGTTATAGATCTACTGATTCTGAGAGTTTCAGTAAAATCCACCCAACAGCGTTTCATGTTTTTTTTTTTTTTGTAAATCTTCACATCATTATCAGTTAATTTACAACAAACCTTGTGTTTGTAAGTGAGTGCAAACAGCGTTGGGTGCAGCTAACTGAAGCACTTCCTGCAGCAGGGGTGTCAAACTCATTTTCATCAAGGGCCAGATGAGCATCATGGTGGCCCCCAAAGGTCCAGCTGTAACTAACTTGTTGTAACTTGAAGTTTCATGTTTAASTTCGACTAAACAYAAAACGTTCCTCTTCTCGTTGCTACAGCTGAGCAAACAAAACAAAAACTGAGCTCTGCATGGTATTTCCTGCATAGAAACAGCATTTTAACATRCCTTCTTATAAACCATGAAATGCACTACGTGGCTGAAAAGGAAATAAAAAATACAGAAATTTTATCAAAAGTAAAAATAAGAGAGCTTTACTCACTGATGAGTTGTGGTGAGCTGCTATTTTGAATTCTGAGCTCTCCCACTTTCCGACAGAGAATTCCAACTGGAGCAGTGTTCCATTTTAAATTTACACCTTTTAAGTGGGAAAWTCCCACTTCCCAGTACAACTGGATCACATCAAAGGTAGTCGGTAAAAATGTCTGCCTGATACTTTTGAATCCTGTGCGTCTYSACCTAGTGGTGGGATGCCATCATTTTGTAGGCAAAATGTTCCACTTGCATTATGGGAGATGTAGTTTCTGTTYAATGCTGACTTTAAAGCATCATGCACTTCATTTTAAGACATTAAAACATCTTTTAAGCTCTCGTGGCCGCATAAAAGACTGCGGTGGGCCTTGAGTTTGACAYGTGTCCTACAGGAATATMTTACAGGTTTGTTTATCAGTGTTCACACGATCCATTATTCCAAGTACAAGTGTCAAACTCTGGTCCTTGAGGGTCACTWTCCAGCATGTTTTCTGTTCAAACACACCTGATTTGCACGAGTGCACGATTAACAGACCTCCACAGAATTTGAAGAGGTACATAAATCACAGAATCAGGTGCGTTGGAGCAGAGAAACAAGGAAAACATGCAGGATAGCGGCCCTCCAGGACCCGAGTTTGACACCCCTGCATTATAGCATTTAAACTTGGACACGTTTTAAGATGACAGTATACACTTTAGTTCWGGGACTCAGTCAGAATTAAAACAACAGGCTCTTTCTTAAACAGTTTAACCAAATGGCCACACAGACCAGTCCTAGTGTTTCACGTGTCAAATTGAGGCTGTTCAATAAGCTATCTACAACAGGTAAGATATTTATTCTTTATAACATTTACTCAGAACCCCACTGTAAACGATCGTGATCACGTTTTTTCTAGTAAACAATCATTTCTTCATGTAWGCGGTCATGGCTAATGATTGGTTTAAATGAGGAAGAAATGCCATAATTTTCATTTCAACTTAACTTAAACATCTGGTTTATTCTAAAAGTGTAATTGGCTGCAGTTTGGGCAATAAAAAGTGGTGACTTGGATCATAAACATTATTGCACTTAAAACAAACATTTTACCTGCTAATGAACTGGCTGCACTTTTCGAGCTGTAGGTGGTCAGAACAGAGAGGTTTCRCAGGTAAATGGTTTGGAAATGAATGTTTGAGCTCAAATCAAACCCCTCGCTCTGATTCACTGTCTCTGATTACCTCATCATCATTCTTCTTCTTTGCTTTTTTTTATTGTGCAAAAGTCTTACACTTATTCACACATCTGTGTACAGGGGAAACCCCAGCACCCTAATCCTCCATCTGCTACTGTTTAGCACTGCTGCAGTGTACCACACACACACACACACACACACACACACACCTACACCTGCATTGTGTTGTATAAACCGTGCTGTTGCAGATGCAGAAAATAAAAGAACACTGATGACTCTGAGCAGATGCTGGTGACATCATTTCAGTCCAGCTTCTTGCTGTATCATCCTGCTCACACACACCTCACTCCTCAACCCAGCTGTTTTTATCAGCTTTTTTAATTAACCATGGCCAAGACTAAGAACCTGTTTGCATGAACACACACACCCGAGAGTCATGATCCAAAGCTTTGCCTTTTCTTTGAATGGCTGTGAAACTGTCCACACCCAGATACATACACGAAGAGGGCATTTAAATAAAACAAAATMATAAAACTTTGCATTTTTGGTATAAAAACATCTAAWCAAAWGTCRTTAAAGGTAGTTAATGTGAATGACCGAAGTTCTTGTCAACCCACACACACTCCTCCATCTGTCGCCTCACCTCTGTAGCACATGGTGAGCCACAGCAGCTCCAGCACCTGACCCCCGAACTCACACACGTCCAGTCCCAGCATGGTACCTTTCAGCAGGCGGGAAGGGGGGCTCAGACTCAACCAGAAAACCCAGAGGACCTCCACAGGTAGCACCAAAGTAGGGTAGAGGAGAAGAGCATCCACAGAAGTGATTGGAAAATTAAGAAGAAGGAATAAAAAATGTAAAAAAAAAAAAAAAAGCTCAGGCAAGCATCTCTTCGTAAGAGAAAATACCTTAGTTTGGAGAGGTTAAAGAGAAAGGAAGGGATGAGGGAGGTGTGGAGAGGGTATCCTTGGGTGTGGGAGTGATGTGTGAGTTAGAGAGAGCRAGGATGGAGGGAGGGTGAGGCAGGAGCAGACACCCAGCTGCAGCTTCTTTTCCACAGACTGTTCGGTGGAGTGAAAGAAAAAAATCTCAATGTTTCTGTTTTTGTCTTGTTTCTTGCACTGATGCTGGAAGCTCACAGAGGAAATGCCAGCAGAGCTGTCTGCAGTTAGTGTGTGTGTGTCTGTGGATGTGTGTGTGTGTCTGTGGATGTGTGTCTGTGGATGTGTGTGTGTGTTGCACTCAGATGCTGGCTATTGATTCGCAGACAAGCAGTGAACCCCTCCCTCCCCTCCTCGTGTCATCAGCCCAGCGACTGCAATGAGCTCATCCTTTGCTCCCCCCAACTCTTCCCCTCCTTCCACTCCCTGGTTTCCCTCCTCACATCTCTTCTTCTTCACTCCTCCAACTCTACCAGGTTTTTCAATGCTTCCTTTGTCTTCTCTTCTATAGATTCCCATGTGGTGTCCTCACTCTGCTCCCTTTATCCATCCCTCTGTCCTCACTGCCCCTCCCTTCCAGCCTGTTTTTTTTGTCTCTATCCTCTTCTTCAGCCTCAGTCTTCTAGTGGCCACGCCCTGTCAGGCTTCACTCTTCTTTACTCTAATTGATTTTCTTTCCCCCATATTTTCATGAGAACATTTATTCTGCACTCTGCTGCCACACTCCTTTTTTACTTTCCCTTCTCCCTGTAAGACGCCCCCTGGAGCAAAGAAAGAAGCTGAATACAAAATGGGGTTGTTCTCCACACACACACACACACACACACACACACACAC